TTTGCGTCACGAGAGTAGGATTTTCATTTCATATTTTCGTTCGTCGTTCGGAATCCTACTCAATCTTGTTTTTTTAAATTTTTTATGTTCTTGTAGCCCATGGTGTTTTTCAAAAAATGGCTCAAAAAATTACTCCAATTTTTTATTACATTTTCAAATATTGATGTTTTTTGCTACATAGGTAAATTTATGGTTTAGATCTAATAACAATTCAATTACATTCACTCAATTATAAGGCTTTAAATGATCTATGATAGATCTAGTCTATAATATTATTATTAAGTTTATGTAAGAAAAATAATCTAATAATAATAGTAAAAAAGGATATTAATCGTGAATCACTGGTTGGTTCCAGGTTAATTTCTTCTTATTCTTGGCGGCCTTCATCTTCTTGGTGTAAATTTAATACCTAAACATAATGATTATGTTTATGACAATGAGACAATCATTGATAATATCAAGCAAGTAAAAATAGTAAAAAGACCCCTGTAAACAGTTTAGTTTTAACTAATACAAGTGGACTGTCATCAGTGCCTATCATTAGGTTCATCAAGAATTGAAAACTACTAGATCTAACTACATTTACACACAAAAAAGTCTAATACAAGTTACTTTGAACAATGCAAACTTTTTTTTACCTTTTTTATTTTTTGAATTAGCTTAGTAAAACAACCTACTTTATAAAGCCAGCAAATGAAGCATCCTATATTTGCTATCAAACTTGGTGCTAGTATTACAGCTAATATAATTACTGCAATATCTCCTGCACTTAATGTTCCAGAATTTTCCGGCATTGGGCTAGAGCTACATTGATCTACAAAATGTCCAATTTAAATTACTGCATGTAGACTAAAGTAGTAGATTCTATTACATACTTTTAGCTTGTCTGGAATCAAAGTAGTGTGTTCTATTACAAGGTAACTGTATATTCTTGTTCCATTCTCCGTCACTTGTTACCATTGATTCTTCATTAACAGTGATAGAGTCATATGATATATTATAGCTTAGATTTGCATACTGTGGGTCTGATGTGTTCAATACCTGCAGTACTTATATAAATATTAAATTTTGTTTTTTATACTTACCAGTTGTATAAAAATTGTGATATTAGTACAACAACTATCATTGCAATCATTAGTAGTACTATTTGCAATAATAGTAACATTGAAGCTAAGGAGTGCCTAGATCTAATAAAAAATTCAAAAATAAAGTAATAATGAGCCATTGTCTTGTACCATTATTATTTTGCGGTGATTCACACTGAGAAGTAATTGTATCATTACCTGTATAATAAAATATTCAATTAAAATTAGAT